GAGGGAGGGGGGGAACCTTCCCCAGCGCATAAAACCCGAGCACCAGCCCCTGAACACGCCGGGAGCCCCGTGCGACCCCGAGCCCGGTGGTCCCACACCCCCTGCTCAGCGGGGCCGGGCTGTGCGTGGGGCTCAGCATCACCCGGCGCAGGGGACAGGTGCTGTTTTATGGTCATTTGAGCTTCTCCCTGTCGCGGGTGGACAGATACACCTTCTTCCTGCAGGAATCTCCAGTTCCTGCACTTTAAACACCCCTCCCCAGCCCCGTAACCGCTCATTATCTGGGGGAGTGCCCAGTGCTGCAGATGGGGCTGTACTGGCCTGTTTTGTCCAGTGAGGAGTGGGTCCAAAGGGTGTTGGGGACAGGAACACGCCGTTATTTGTGGGTCAGTGTCCTGCCCTTGGGAGCTGCCCTTGCTAGCTGACACTCTCCTACCAGCTCGTTTCAGCAGCTGAGAGTTAAAGGTGCCTTGCCCACAGAAAATGGATCGAAAATCTCAATAATCATAAAAAAAACCCTCATTAAGCTGTTTGACCAAGAGAAATGTTTCCAAACATGGGCAGTGAGATAAACGTGAGCCCAGTTGTGCTGGCAGAAATCACCTCTGCCTGCCCAGGCCCTGGGTGCCAGACATTGCAGCAGGGAGAAGCTGGGCCGGAGGGCAACAGGCTGGATGCAAGTGTGAACAGCCCGGGGAGCCTCACTGGCCAGGCTGGGAGACAGGGAAAATACAAACCAGCTCTGGATAAGAAGGGACACAAGGTATCCCACTTCTGCATGCGCAGAGCAATTAACTGAGGTATTGCAAGTAATTATCTTTTCATTATGAAAAGTGGAATTTCACAAGGAAAATAAGATGAAGACACGTGTCCAGAGCAATCTGTGAGAAAGGGGCTCCCTGCGGCGCAGAGCGAGGGGAGCAGAGCTCAGAGCCGGGGAGGGGGATCGCTGCACTCCCCCCAGGCTTCCCCGTCCCTCGGCAGCAGGACTTCCGCAGGCCACGGTGCAGTCCCAGGCTGAGCGGAGGCGTTGCAGCTTGCTGAGCTCAGATGAAAAAGCCCCGACAAAGAATTCATTGATAATAAGCAAGAGGAGCAATAAAAAGTCACGGCAAACTGCACGAGGGCGCAGCACCGGGCGATTGCACGGGTTGGGGTGCCAGGGCTCCATCCAGCCCCACGTGCGGGATTCCAGAGCAGCGGCAGCCCCAGGAGTGCCCGCGGCC